GTTGGCAATAACTACCAAAGACAAATGGGTGAGGTCGCGCGAAATCCCTGGATCAGTCAGAGTTAGACATTAACACCGTTGGATGCCGGCCCAGTGGTACGATGGTTAGGTATTAACGAACAAGACCGAAGGTCCAGAGTTCGAATCCCGTGCCAAGCAGGAGTCGTGGATAAGCGCTGCTGATGAGTCCCATACCAGCACGAAACGGCCGTCCAGTGCTTACAGGTTTCTAGTGGTGGTCGAACAACTGTTGGTTGATGATTTCAAATGTTTAAGAACAATCGTTAGTCAGTCAGTGACAACCTAGAACTTCGTACATACATATGTCAGTTAAAGTTGACATACTACATACGCACAGCAAATCAATCGTAGATTCAAGTAACATAGTGTTATAGGTAGTACAAGTATGAGGAGTAATTGGAAAGATCGCGGTACGAAGATATTATTCAAGCAGTATAATCTAATGAAGTAGATTTGAGAAGATAAAGACGAAAGTCATGAGGAGAATGGATGCATCCGCACCGTTATGCAAATGATTTTTAGCCATACCACCTAAGGTCTCTAACCATCGGTTACTATCATCTCGATGACCTCAACCTGGTAGTCTACACCTACTAAAATGGCTCATTTCAGCTGTTAGTAACTTAATGGATTTGTGCCATGTTTTGATCTGACCGCATCTAACTTTCTTCCAACCTACTCCAACATCAAAAGACATGGTTTTTGGAGGCAGTTGGTGGTTTGGAATTCATAACGAATGTTCCAAACATCTCAACTGATGAAGTTTCAATACTTTTTAACAACTGCATCGCTTGCTCGGCGGTCTCAGGGTATACGAGTAACTCTTTGAAGACACCTATGATCGAAAACCAATAGCTTAAGAATGTCCTCTGCTCTAACTGGCCATATTTCACAAACCCCTTAAGTGGGAAAGAGTGAACTGTTACACAGTAGACTCGTCTTTTGGTTGCTAAACAACTACGCCATAAGGAGGCAAAAGCCAGTCGAACCTACTGTATCCATGTTGATATTTCGTCAGACATCAAACTCCCTGTTGAATAATAATAATAATAATAATGATTTAAGAGAGATTTAGAAATCAACGAAATGTTTAAATCATTTCTAGAAATAAGTTTAATAAATAGAAAATAACACTTAATGAAACAAGATCTCACACTTTCGCTCTTTCTCTGCCTCTACCTCTCTACCACTCTCCATTCATTTATTTATTCATTTAGATTATTCTCGTTCATTTTGTTATGTCTTCATTTACTCGTTAACATAAATTATCGAGTTAATTTAATTTAATTTAGGAATATATATATATAAAATACCATTCATCATTTCAAAATGTCTTCTTCTTCTTCTTCTTCCTTTTTTTTGTTGGTAATCGTTTCGTCTTTCTTTTCTTTCGTTTGATTATCTCTAATCTGATGAAAGAAAAAAATATTTTTCGTTGTACTCAGTGTTGTTGCCCTTTTCTTATTTTTTTTCTCTAAATTTCTTCTTACTTTTCTCGTTGACACTGTTTTGTTCTTCATTGTTATTATTTGTTATCTCATCGTTTGGTTTCTCTCTCCGGTTTTTTTTGAACTTTTCACCTTATTGATTTTATTTTTATTCTTGGACACTTTTCTTTTTTTGTGAATGGATGTATGTATTGACATATTTCATTAGGTAGGAAATCACAAGGTTTTTATTTTGTGTTCATTTTTTTTTCTCTTGATATAAAAATAAAGTTAGACCACCATTGCATGACGGCCGTTTCGTCCTGGTATGGGACTCGTCAGCAGTGCGCATCCACGACCCCTGCAGCCCGCAGGATTCGAACCCAGGACCTTCGGTATTGTACGCGATCGCCTACTCCTCGGACCACTGAGCCGGTATCTAACAGTGTTAATGTCTAACGTCGATCATTTCACGGAGTTGCGCGACCTCATACACAGTCTTCGGTAGTTACTGTCTACACCTGAACAGGTTGAACTTCACTGGTCACGTCTTCCCACTAGAACTCGGAGAAGATTCCTCATGAAGCTAGTCACTAGTGAGCACAGGTAATTTGCATTACGGGGTTGTGAAGATGTTAACATTGATCGATTCATGGTTTCAAAAATGTGTAACTTAACAATCTTCACAACCCTGTAATAAAAATAAAGATTTTGATTTCAATATTGTTTCAAAATAGGCACATACTGACCGTAACTACTAACTAACAACATGTATACGTCAATGGATAATAGGTGTGGCGATTACATTGAGATGTATGCAAATACATAAGGGTTAAGTATAAGAAGGTCAGTATAAATTAAAGTTCAATGTAACATTTCCCCACTAATAATTCATAGTTTTATTCATTTGTAGTTTTTGTTTGAATCTTCCCCTTTGATGTTTAGGACTACCGTTGATCCAGTCTGTTTATGGCATATGTGCATTCTTTGCAGATTGTCTCAATATTACCTTTACGTTTTATACACTATTAGCAGAAATAAATAGTAGTTTGCAGTGAAATTCAGGATGCGAGTTTCGACTTATTTGGAAGTGGTGTGTAGCTAAATGTACCTACCTGAATCTGAGAGTTGATGTTCATTTCAGAATTCAGAACCAAATACCATTCATTTTAAACATCATCGTGTTGTGTAGATACATCATGCTACACATCAGCTCGAAAGAGAAAGAAATGCAACCCTTGGGTTGCACTACTAATCGTTACGATTTACCTCTGCGATCAGTGGTTCACAGTTTGTTCGATTAACCTTGATTTTAGCATACACCCGGCCGAAAATTTATCTGAAGTTGTTTACATGTATGGATTCGAGTGAAAATAACATCGTGGTACTTGATAGTAATCTGTAATTTATGTCAAAAAAGCTTTGATAATCTTAACGTTTTTCATATTTAACACAATTTGGTTTGTAAATGATGTTTAGCCTGTACTCCCTTATCATTTACTTGTTCGGTTTGTATTCACTAATATATTGTAAATATGTTCATGAACTTGATTAGGTCAATAATAGATGCTAGTTTGATTTGGAAAGTAATCAGCCATAGTGGATGATGTCATCTGACAGTCGTGTTATCGAATCCATTGACTGATGAAGTTCAATGGTCTACAGCTAACAAAATGCCCAATAGTTTCATCTCTCTGTTATAGTCACTAATTAGAACCAATGAGAAGTATGAGAATTATCCCACGAATAAAACAATCTTCAAGTCAAATCGATCTCAAAGAATTCTTCTGTCACAGAGTTAGTATGTGTTCACTGGTGATATAAAGGAATTTTAAATTTCTAGAACCAATTTTTAAATGAGTGCCAGTGCCTTCTGACTCAAATATCTACGTCAAATTCATAAGTCAACATCATCTGATTAAACCGTATTGTGAAAGGATTTTGTTCTTTAGATAGAACAGTTACTCTGTGAAGTATGCTTTGTTCTTCTGAGTAACATCATCATCAAAACATACACACATTCACTCCGGGATAAAGTAAAGTATTCTAAGTGGAGTAATTTCACTGATTCTCTTCTACATGTCGTTTCTACTGATGATGCTACTCACACCTTTGAACCATCTGGTCCATAGAACGAAACTACACTAGAATCATACAACTGAGTAACAGATCATTGTAGGATCCATACTGAGGTTTGGACTAAGGAATAACTGTCTAGGTAGTTTAGATACGCGCCTTGCCCAGTTGAAACCAAAACAAGTGATTTGGGTAAATGACGGTTCTAATATTCATCATAAATATAAATATACATCATTACCTAAACAAATATTACTACTCAGTTATTCCACCAACAATTGTTCAATTAATCAAATCAGCAGCAATATATAAATGTTATTCTATCCCTCCTGGATAAATCAGATCCCTTCAAAAGTTAATATTTGGTTACTTTGTAACCCAGAGTTTTCTCAATTATGGAAGAGTGCTTCAATTCACAATCAAAATACACAATTCCAGTTCATGCAAGCAACTCAACCAAAGGAGGAACAAATCGATGTGGCTGTCGCCGTAACTAAGTATCAGCCTAAACATCATACATGCAGTTTAGAAAGAGACGTAGAAAAGGCAAAAGAAATAGAAACTATAATAAAAACACAGATATTATGATCTCAAAGATGAAATCGAACTGACTGACAAAATGTACAACTGAAGGAATCAATAAGGACATATTACAGATGTATACATGGAGGGATTTTCACAAACAAAGCCTTAAAAAACAGATCTTACATCATTTTCAACATTTCAAGATTTTATTACAAAAATATTACAACTGATGAAACAACCAGAGTGAGGTTGTGAAGATTATTGAATTTTCATAAGACTATAAATTTATATAACTTAGATCATTGATAAAAAAACCTGGAAACATTGCATTGCTGTTTTGTCCTACTCTAGAACTCTTCAGTCGTATGCAGGCACAACCCCAAAAAAAGGAACTTCGATCTCACACAAAAAGGTTTAACTTCTAGACCAGTGAGCCAACAGCCATTTGTTAATAACTCTAATCTCAACCAGTAGGTATCAGTAGGTATCTTTCTCATGCCCAACATAGCTGCTTCTCACTGAAATACCAGGAATCGCCTTGTGAAACTAGTCAATAATTGACATAATAGTTATCAGCAAAGGTTTGTGAAGTCAGAAGCAATGACTTAGTGAAATGAATCCATGTAGCATATGAAAATGAATAGGAGATGACTAAAAACCATCACAGATTGATCTAGGGTTAACCGTATACACTGTGTTCAGTAGAGATCACTAGTTCACGAGCAAAACGGAAGGTTCTATACTAGGACGCGATGACAGTCTATCACTACCAAGTTTTCAATTAGTGATCTCAACCACAAATGTATTTATATCACATTTTTAATTCATTACATTGAGATGAAAATTTTCTTTGATAAGACAATTTTTCGTTCATTGAAAAGAAAATATCTAATCATATCTTTTGCTAACACTCCGACATTTAAAAAATCAAACATTTTAATATTCATTTACCTGGAGGTCCAGGTTTACCCTCGTAAAATTTCATTTCATTACAATCGATTGATAGACCACGACAAACTTTTCGAAACATATCAACCTATCAAAAAAGAAAAAAGAAAATCCGAAATATATATATATATATATATACCAACAAAATTAAAACAAACACTTTTGAATAGTCGAGTTAATTGAACATTGAACCTGTTTCTCAAAGTAAATGAAACATTACATGATAAAGTAGCTTATCAAATGATGAATTTCATTTGTTTACAATTGCTGAATGTGAAGAAGCTTGATTACATTGATAAACGTTTCTTAAAAGATGTATGATTATTATTAATATTATCGAAATTACTAATGATCGCAATCAAATCTTCATCGAAACGGATACATTTCATTGAACAAAAAGAAGTTATTCTTCGTTCATAGTGTTTTGTTCATAAATTCTCATGACTTCATGACATCATGAAATTGATTTCTAGTTGAAAAATCATTGAAAGCCAGCAGGAATTAGACAATTGTGTGTCTGTCTATAACCCACCGGTGATCGAACCCAAGAAGCTCTAGGTTTCTTAGTGTGTGCATTTAACTAACCATTATATCCTTGGGTCGTCAGTCAAACGTTTAAATTTTCTGCCTCAACTAATTAGTAATATTTTGTAACCAATTTTACTGATTAGCAGGAGGAGCTTCATAAAGCATGCTTAAGCTCTTTCGATCAATATTACTTCATGAATTCTCCAAATATTTCCACTCAATGATGTTCTTATTCCAGTGATGAGACTAAAGCTTGTCGAACACTTCTGGATCATGATTCAGTGACTGTGAAATGTGACATATTCGTTTAAGACTCTTTGATCTTTGCCACTGTTATGAGACTAAATGAGAGTAAATTAGAGCTGTGATCGATCAGACGTTAAATCGTTTGACACAAAGGCATTAGACAAAAAGCATCTGTACAAATATTAAGTTTAGCCTTCCTTCATCCGTTGACCGATAGCCTTATAATTACATGTTGGCATCTATTAGACAAGCGCTGTTTAGAGAGAATCATCAATAGACAGTTGTTTTAATCAACGTTTAGATTACCAAGTAGTTTGTAAACAACAACACATATTATGAAAATAAAGCTGAGAAGTTCAAGTCTTGCATAAAATACACTATCATATCATTGATTTAGTCAAATTTAAACAACGAACAGATAAAACTATTCCGAATTTCTTACAAGCCCAAATCCATGCAATTTTTGTAATGTGTAAGATGCAACATTAAACTCCAGAAAGGTACGATAATTTACCTTAAATGACAGAAAACTAATCTGAGCCTTGTATTGATCATGCCTTCTACTAACAACAAAAACAGATGTTCACTAACTTGTCAGCTAAGTTGTATGGTTTCTCGCCGAATGTAGCCTATTCGAGAGTAGCAACTGAATTCGTAGAATACACGTGAATCTAGTGAAATCGAATAACTTAAGTTTTAGTTGAAACATCGTCATCGATTGGCTAGAAAGTGATAAATCGAGGTTAACTACTCCAGAGAACAAACACTTCACTATAACATAACGAATATTCTGTATTATTAGTTAGATAACTATTTCACAGTTCTCATCGACCACTGAGCCAGCATTCAACGGTCGATGCATACTGCTGAAGAGTCCCACAATCAGGCGAACCAGTCATCTAGTGCTTACTGGATTTGATTTAGAATTCTAATAAAAAACAAAGCAACATTCTCCATAATTCTCTAATCACAATATTTTTTAAACACTGAACATAATTGAATTCTATTCACGTCACATGAATTCACATGGATTTATTATCATACAACATAACAAAACAAAACAATGTAATCATCCTGTTTTTCATTTTGTAAGTAGTTTTGTTATCCCAGACATTGATCAATACAATGTGACTAAACACTAACACACTAATTAACTAATTCTCTACAACAACAACAACAAACAAACTGGAGGCGCGAAATTCAACTGTTACAAAAAATTAAGGCGGTTAATTCTAGTGAAACTTTTGTCAATTTCTTGCCCTTTCACAAATTTGATTGAATACATGTCTTAGCTGATTGTGATAATAATAATAATAATAATAATAACGTTTATGAAATTAATTTCTTATTTGATCATTTCTTTATGTCTTCTACTTCGTATACCACAACACTCTTCATTTTGATTTAACGAAAGACAAGTAATCATTATTTATGTGTATGCATATGTACATATATAAACAAACAATGACCGCAATAAAAAAACAAACATCTTTAATATTTCTATCCAAAAGCGAAAAAAATGTTCATTTTCTCGAAAAAAAGATGAAATTAAAATTGACCTGAATTATTAATGTGTGTGTGTGTGAGTGTGTAGTCCAAGTTATTTTCAGTTTCTTTTTTTTTCTCTTCTCTATTGGTATCCTATTTTATTTTTTCTGAGTTTAATTTTTTTTATTTCGTCCCGGTTCTCATATTTTTTTTAACCAGAAGTATATATCGATAGAAAAAAAAATAAAGAATACACTGATGTGTATAATTTATCAGAAAGAAAAAGAGGTCAAGTGTTTTTTTTTAATGAATCATTTATGTTTACTGATAATTTATTAAGTAGTATACAGGTAGGGAGGTGAGTGGATTTGTGAAGATTGTAGTAAACTAATCGTAGCTAAACTTTCACTAGAGACATGGAAGTATTGGCGATTAGTGTTTCATCAAAGTGTGGAACTTTGTAAACTGATAATTTATTAAGTAGTATACAGGTAGGAAGGTGGGTGGATTTGTGAAGATTGTAGTAAACTAATCGTGTAGCTTAGAGATCTGAAAGCATTAGAGATTAGTGTTTCATCAAAATATGGAACTTTTCAGCGGTACACACTGACGAGCTTACATCTAGGATTTGAGTTATTTGTCAACAAAAAAGGTGTTGTTTGTTGTTTATTCAATGAGAAAAAGAAGATGGGTTAATTGAATTTCACAAGTAACAAACAGTATACCAAATACAATCATAAGTACCACTCTTATATTTACTAGTAGAATCTAAATACATAGTTATATAAATATCCTATGGTTGACATGTTTTAAAAACTTGCTCACGGGACTCAAACCTAGAACCTTCGATCTTGTTCATGAACGCTTAATTGCTAGACCACCAAGACGTCATTCGGCTGGGATTAATGATTAAATTTAACTAATCCACAGCTTCGAGCAACGTCATTTACTGTGCACTGCTGATGAGTAGCATACTCGGATGAAACGGCCATTCAGTGTTTCCAAGTTTTGTCGTGGTGGTTTTTCGATGAAAATTAACAATCTTCGGAACCCTTTAGCGAAAATATTTAAAAATTATAATTTGATATCATTTTTACCTGAGTAATTCTACTAAGGCATAGATTTTCTACATTTTATTCTGACTACCGAATCTAAGTAACAACACACAGACAATCTCCTGTTTTAATTCAGTTATCAAAACATACTACGAAGAATAGAAATCTGAGAAAAATAACTATGGCTACAAAATTTAGAATACATAGTTTTGTGTTTCATCAGGAAAAACCTCAAGGAATCCAATTTTAAGTCAGCCTTAATTACTTACATATGTTTATTACTTCTAGTAAAGTAGAGGGCCGCCAGCAGTCACTTAGTTACAAACGGTCATCACTGATTGTAAATTATCAAGATATCTGACTATATCTAATGAGAAGAAAGATGGTAGAAAGTAGCTTTCATAACTTCTAATTTTCTTACTTCTATTGTGATTTTTTTAAACACAGCTTAGCCAATCACTGTTGATATCTATTGTTTCATTTGAATCGTCATCATGTTTACTTTCATTGGCAATTGATACGCTTAATCTGATTCATTTTCCGGCCATCGTCTTTTTTCTCTTTCTTTTAAAGCCACAAACCGAATAAAAAACAAACATGAACAAACCGGAAATAAATCCATTGATAATTGAACAAAACATGTAGTTTTATATATCATGTCAGCGATATTGTGTGCTCATTTTTTGATTTTGAATTTTTCTTGCAAAAATGGTGTACAGTTTTTTTGAAAAAATAAAAATTTATTTAAAAGTTGTACATTTAAAGAAAAGACCAATTCGAAATCATGATGAAAAAAAAATTTCAAAGGAAGGAAACAAAACACATGAAGAAAGAAATCTATTCAAGAATGTTTATATTGATAAGGAAAATTACTTGTTTTCGATAGAAAAGAATGAAATTCATTGTAAATGTGAAACATTGAACACTGAACACTTGTATTTATCTCATAAGTTACAATGAGCTGAATAATGGCCATTTTTTTTTGAAGAGATAAACAGAACAGTCATTATGAATTTATTTATTTTGATTGTACAGGACAAAAAACTAGATTTAGTTATGAATATATGGACATTATGCTCATATAGGTTGGTACATAGGGATAATAGAGACTAATCAACTGACGGTCTTTTTAATATATTCAAAACTTACAAAGCTTACAAAACCTTTGAAATTAATGGGTTCATATTGGTAGAGTGAGTTGGTGACTAGCGGAATTTATTAAAATCGAAGATACATACAGGATTACTGTATGAATGTGAGTAAAGATTTCTATTAATATCAACGACTGATCTTATATTCTCACCAGTTATAGACTCATTTTAATATCAGTCATTGGTCGAACATTTCGAAGCTCATTGTTTTACTAGTAGCAATGGAGTCCCATTACTGATGAGTGCCGTGCTAGGACTAAATGGCTCACCAGTGCTTACTGGTTTCTATTTGTTGACTAACAATGATCGATAACATAAATTCGATCAAATTCAATAATTTCCGTGATAAAAATTTGATCGGTATTTTACTAATTCAAGCCTGAATCCTGTATTCACAAGAACAATATGTCCAATGTCAAATCATCATTAGAAACCTGAAAATATATACCTGTCAAATGGACAATATTCTCTCATATATCTGACTTGTAAATTCTTCTTATCACAGGATTTTTCTAACCTCTGGATTATCTATGAAAACCCCGATCAATTTATGCGGTGTAATCTCTTCTATCTTTTCGATAGAATTATATATATTTATCAAATAACTATAAATACAAATG